CAGGGAGACCCCCCCCCCCACAACACTCTGAGACTCCACTGGGCCTGTGCAATGAACCCTCGAGGATCCCAGAGACCTCGCCTGGTCTGGTTTCCTGAGGCGGGGGCACATCCTGGAAAAAGGCACCCCTGCCCCAACCTGGGCCACTCTGTTCTGGGGCTCCCGGCTTCCTTCTGGAAGCAGGCCTGAATCGCCCTTCCATGGGTCCAGAAGGGAAGAGACAGGGACTGGCCCAGGACAGTTGGGCCCAGCACACCCCAACAAGTGGCCTAACGGCAGGGCCAGGAACTGCCACCTCCTGGTGCTGGCTTCAGAGCACCTGGGTGTCCCCAACCCCGAGAGCCCCCAGGACTCCTGCGGAAGGGGCCACAGTCCTGCAGGGGACTGCCAGTCAGAGCTGGGGGCTCCAGGTGGCACTCCCTGAGTGCACACATGGGGGCCCAGAGCGATGGCCGGGCACATCTGACCCCCCAACAACCCTGTGTGTCCCCAGCTTTCCTGTGGGCAGACTGAGACCCAGAGAAGTGGAGCCCCCGGCCTGGCCAGGCCCTGCTTGCTTGGGGGTGACTCTGCGGCCAGGGAAGGAACGGGTGCCAGCCTTCGGGGACCCCCTCCCGTCCACACCCCCGGCACCCCCTTACCAGCCAGACGACAAGCGAGTAGTGGCCACGGGCAGCAGCAGCGTGCAGCACGCTCATGCCGTCGAGGGCACGCAGGTGCACATCGGCTCCGCAGTCCTTCACCAGGAACTGGGCCAGGTGCAGGTGGCCCTCCTGGCAGGCCAGGTAGAGCGGGGAGGCACCACTGCGTGTCCGCTGGTTCACGCCACTACGGGGGAAGGTGAGGTGAGAGGGTGTTTGGCAGGGCCTGCAGAAGGCAGGGGGCTGCCCCCAGCCAAAGGCCCAGATCAAGGGGAGGGGAGGCCCAGCACTTGACCAGCCTGTTTGCGCCCAGCCCCACCTCACTGGCCACCTGTAGGGTTGTACAGGCTGTGCACTGCTCAAGGACACCATGGCGCCCCTCCCCCCACCACTGGAATCCTGGAATCCAGCTGTGCGCACTCCCCATCAAGCTGTTAAGCTGTTCACGGTGCTGGGGATTGCTGGGAGGGGGCACGTCTTAGGGGTGAATAGCCTAGTGGGGCCCGCAGCAGGCAGGTCATTGAACCTCCAGAGCCCAGGCCCTGCTCTGCAAGGCATCCAGGGCCTGGCATCCAAATCCTGGGCCCTGGCATGGATTCTCCAATCCCACTCTGCCTCTGTGTGGCTGCAGGGCCCGATGAGTTCTTGGTCCCTAGTGAAATGCTACAGGGAGGGACAGTCCCTTACCCAAGGCCACCCCATCCCCTGGTGACACAGACTTCACCTCTGGCTCCCGTGGCCAGTGCCAGGTGGGAATGTGGACCCTCGGGCGTGAGACATCACGTGCACACTTGTGTGTTTTGATGTGAAATCTCCAGGTTTTCAATGGTAGAAACTACTTTAAAAACGGTGAGTCTGAGAGACACTGTGTGGCTGGCCAGGCCCCAGGCGCCCAGAGAGTGTCCGTAGAAGCAAGTCCCCAAGACCTTCCCCGAGGGGTTGGGATCAGAAGGCACAGATCAGCGTTCCACCGCTGAGCTGTGTCAGGCCTTGCAGTGGGACACGCGTGGGTCAGCCGAAGAGCCAGCCATCCCAACAAGAGGCCCCCGAGGAGACGGGCACGGCCGGAGGGAGGTGGCTTCTGGGGAGACAGGCTAGGTCAGGTGTGGGGTGGACATTAAGTCCCACACCCAGCCAGGACAGCAGCCCTGGGAACAGGCAGTGGGAAGGCCGCGTGCATGGGACCCCTAGATGGCCCGTCACCGTGCCCACGGCATCCTTTATGTGGGGCAAGGACTGGAGAGCACTCACAATGAGGATGGGGACTGTGCTGCCCCCTGCCACACCCAGCTCACCCACCCACCAACTCTGGGCAGCGGGCACAGGGCCACCAAGACGAGACGGGCCGTCCTGGAGGGGTTCCCAGGGTGAGAATGGGGCAATGCGGCAGGATAACCCTGACAGGGACCTCAGTACCCTCCTGAGCGCACTGTGGGGCCTCTGCTCCCTTCAGGTGAGCTGAGGGTCCCCACCTTCCCAGCTGGGGGAACCTAGGAGCTGGGGTGGCCCCGAGGCAGAGCCGGGAGCCGCCTGAGCATCACAGGGAGCTTCCTGGCTGTCCCCGCTGCCCCACCACACGGCAAGAACGCACCCCAGTCTGCCTGCCCCACCTGTCCTGGTACCTGCACTGCCCTCCGCCTGCAGGATCAACGTTCTTCCCTGCCGCCTGTCCCCCGAGCCTCCTCCGCCCCCACGGCGCAGCCTCCTCAGAGGCCAGCACTCCCCAGTGGCCGCACTGGCGGCGCCCTGGGTCCTCACCTGCCGTGGGCGGCCGCCAGGAGCTTCAGGCAGGTCAGGTCCCCACTGACGGCCGCGTGGTGCAGCGGCAAGGCCCCCTCCAGAGTCTCCAGCGTGGCCGCGTGGCCCTCTCGGAGCAGCCACTGCACCAGCACGGGGTGTGCGAAGCGGGCGGCCAGGTGCAGCGGGGACACCCCCGAGTCGTCTTGGTCCTGCGGGGGCACAGAGGGGCCGTGAGCCGTGGCAGGTCCGGACCCACCCCTGCCGGGCGGCACCCTCCAGTGCCAGAGCCGGCCACTCAGCCCACACTGCCCGCCCGCCCGCCCGCAGCTCCCGCTCTCCCCGCTGCTGGCTGGGCCAGCTGACCTGCTCGAGGGAGGAGGCGGGGTGTGGGCTCACGTCCAGGTCTCCCGGGTCCAAACCCGTGACCCCGCTGCACCCCGGCCTCTCTGTACTCGGCTCGCAGCCAGAAGGGCTTCCGCTGGCCCAACTGTGTCCATGTCAGGCTCTCCGGCCTGCTGGTCTGTCCCCTACCCCTGCCGGGCCCCCACCTGCCCCCCCTGGGGCCTCACGGCCAGAAGCATTCCCACCACAGGTGCCAGCACACCCGGTGTGCTGTGCCCCCCGGCACAGAAGTGGGGACCGCCCCTGCCCTGCTGCCCCTCGGGCCGTGGGGAGAGCTGATGGGGACGGCGGTACGGAGGCCGCCGCACACTCAGCTGGGACCAGTGAGACTTCCCTGCCCCGGGACCCAGCGTGACCCCCGGTAGGGTGCCCTCGTGCCCTCTCAGGGCTTGTTCACTGTCCTCCCCGTCCTCCGGCTGCACAAAGGGACACCGGGCGGGCAGGAAAAGGGAGAGGAGGCCTGGAGACCCTTCTTCTTACCATGAGGGCTCTCAGCCCACTGCCCCCCACCGCAGGGCTTCTGCTGTCACCCACCAAGGTCCCCAGTTGTACAAGCGGGTGCCCACAGCTCCTGAGCCCGTGTGCCCACCGCACTTCTCTACACACACCTTTCTAGACCCTGTGGGAAACAGGCCCCACGACCAGTCCTGAGGACACTGGCGAGCCCTCCACTGGCAAGGCCAGGCGCTCGGGTATGGAGGCCGGGTGCCCCTGTGTGGAGGCCAGGCTCGCTCATGTGGAGGCCACGTGCCCCAGGGTGGAGGCGGGCATGGGGAGAGAGTGCAGCCACTCTGTGCTGCTGGCCCCATGGAACACGAGGTGGCTTAGGAGGCGGCCTTGGCTCACAAGGGCTTTGTGCTGGTTTGGGATGAGGCGGCCGTGGGGCAGGGACCGTGGGGCTGGCACGGCGAGTCCCCGAAACAACCCAGGGCCGCGGTGCCCACGGGAGCCCAAAGCTCCAGACTCCCTGGCCCACGGCTCCCGCCTCCCCTGATCCACGCGGACACTGGCCCCAGCCCAGCCGCTGTCCCGCTCACCTGCAGGCCGCAGCCTCCGTCGCGCACCAGCCAGCGCAGCTCGGCCAGGCTGCCCGTGGCCGCGGCATCGTGCACCGGCGTGGCCCCGTTGTGGGCCCGCTGGCTGCCGGGCAGCTCGGCCTGCCGCACCAGGAACTTGACGCAGGCCAGGCGGCCGGCCCGGGCGGCGTGGTGCACCAAGCCGGCCCCCAGGGCATCCACGATGCCCGGGCCCAGGGCACCGGCCTCCAGCAGCCGCTTCAGGGTGGCCAGGTCCCCGTCCTTGGCGGCTGCGAGCGCCCGCTGCCCCTCCATCCTCCGGCCCGGCCACCCGGTGGCTCTCGGCGGCTCGCGCACAGGCCGCGGCTTCCTGTTTCAGGCGTGGATGCAGCTCCCAGCTCCGGTTACCGATAAGCGGCACACAGGGCAGATGGGAGGCGGCAGGGGGTGCGGGGAGGGGGGGCAGGCTGTGGGGACTACCCAAGCCACTCCCACGGTGCCCAGAGCTGCGGTGGGCGGAGGGCCCGGGGCCCAGGGGAAGGGTCCGCACCGGGTCCGGGTCCGGCGGCTACCGTCCCGCGGCTGGACGGTGCCCGTTTGTCTCTCGGAACCAGCGCTAAGGAGCTGCGCGCCGTCCCTCGTCCCGAGATGGACTTCCTGCGTCTGGTGTGTGTTCACAGTTACACGTGTCCCTCCAAGAAGGGGGAAGGCTCCCCAGCATCTGCTTCCTCGGGTCCGGGCAGCAGCCTGAGGCTGTGCTGGCCCAGGGGCGTGGGGGAGAGGCCGCCCGAGAGACTCCGCTCTTCACAGTGGGGCCCTCTCCGGGCCACTTACCAGCACGCGAGCTGGAGTCTGCACGTTCTGGCCACGTCTTCACCCAGGGAGCCGAGGGCGTTCAGCTGGCCTTAGACCTCGGAGGCTCCAGGAAACTCTGCGGTACAGCAGCTTTGCAGAGCCAGCAAGGGGCACAGGGCTCTGACACTGCACAGGAAGGCCTCCCAGGTGAGCGAGGGTCTCGGGGCCCCCGGCTCAGCCCAGTCTCCAGCCACAGCGACCGAGTCTCTGGGGCTGCAGCTGGGGGTCCGCAGGGCAGTCTGAGCTGCCACGCGTCTTTCCCAGACTGCTCTCTTCACTGGGGCTGGACACCCTTCGTTTCTCGCTGGGCAAGTTGGGGTCACCGAGGCCTCTGCCCAGAGGCAGGAGGACGCTCAACTTTAGTGACCTGTTCCTAAGGGCCCCCAGACACACAACCTCAGGCTGAATTTCTTAAGCTGAAGCCTAATCATATGGTGACAAACTGGGGTCACTGCCCAACCCTCCAACTCCGCCTCCACGGCCGGCTCAGACACGCTATGAACCCCAGAGAAAACACCTGCTAGAGAAACCACAAAACGCCTCACACAAGCACTGAAATATTTTATTAGTTCACCTAATTTCTGACAACTGTGGCCTCAATGTCATCACGTAGCTCTTTACACCTTAAAGCCACACGTGACAAGCGTTTATTCAATTAAAAAATCACTCTTGTGTTAAGTGTCTCCAGGAGCCTGAGCGCTGAGGCGTACCAGGACGCCACAGAGCACTTGTGACAATAAAAGAATCCTTCCGTGGATGAGATTACGACGCGGGCGGAGCCAGGGCCAGACTGACTCTCACTGCTCAGGAATGACACCAAGCCCAGTCGTGCCCATGTCCGAGCTGAAGCCCTGAGTAATTGACCAAAAGGAAAAGACTGCGGGGCCTGAGGGCTGTGTGCAGGGAGGTGTGGGGGGGAGGTGCAGGGAGGGGTGCAGTGGCCAGAGGGACAGGCGGGATGGGGAAGCAGGAGGACGCGGAGCAGGGAGTGGGGCCTGACCTTCGGGGGGCCCCCACCTGTCGAGCAAGGGCTTGCAGAGGGCCCTGGGCACGAGGGGAGGGCACACAGACGACTGCTGTGCAAACACGTAGGGGAGGCCGTGACTGCAGCAAAAATCAGGTTTCCTATTCTCATGATACGACCGACAATTGCTTGTAGATACTAGGATCTGTCTTCTGGATAAAAACGGCTCACCCCACTTCCCACGGGGGAGCATGTGGCCGAAACGTCTCCACCCCAATTGAGGCCACTGGGCAGCAGTGACGGTGACAGTCCCGCACAGGCATCTGTGTCCTGGGCCTGTGAGCACCTGTGGCATCTGCCTGACCCGAGGACAGGGGAGGAGGCCTGAAGGCCTCACGCGCACGCATGCAGGTGCACACACACGCGCACACGCACACACACGCACGCACAGTCCAGTCGCTGTGTCAGACTCTCCGGGACAAAGTGAAGACTTGCACGGATTAAGATGGGAGCCGTCTGCATTGTGCCCACAAAGGGCTTCCTATGAGGCGCCCCTGGCGCCAGACGGGCCCTCTAGCCGGGCCACGGCCTGCTTCAGGTCCTGCACGACGAGGTCCACCTCGGCCCTGGTGGTGCTGCGGCCCACGCTGAGCCGGAGAGCGTTCCTGGCCACGTCGAAGGGGATGCCGCAGCTCAGCAGCACTGGGGATGGCCTGGGGGTGGGGGGTGGGGGTGGGGAGAGCTGGCATCAGCCGCTGGAGGAGAGGCTCTCCTGTGCTCCTAGGGGGTCGGGGAGGGACCCTGCCCCTTCTGCTCCCGGCCGGCTCCCCGACTTGGGGCTGCATAGACCTGCTCCCTTCTCTGCCAAGCACCTCCGGGCCCACCGCTGGTGCTCGGGCTCCACACGGCCCATCGGCCCCAGGGTAGGCGGGCACCAAGACAGCCCAAGCACCTGGGACACAGGGCTTCTCATCCTCGAGGAGAGTGACAGGTCTCTGGGGAGACACGCGGCCGCACCGAGAGGCGAGAGCCGAGAGGCGGGGGTTGTGTTTTCCACAGCCCCCAGAGCCAGGCCCTGGCACACGGGGCCCCACCAGCGTTTTCAGAGTTTAGACACCACTTGTAGGGCGGCTCCGGAGCCCTTCGCTCC